ATCGCGAAGACGTGGCCTCACATTCAGGTCCCCGTCTTTGCACTGGGGGTCATCCTGCTGGGCGCTTTGGCTTGGCACACCTACAGAAACGGCCCCCTGTCTCTAATTTTTCTGGCCCTCATAGCTTGGGTCTCCTCCCAATGGGTTAGGGTTATAATGTCCCAACCTACTTTAGCCTTGACCACCAGAAAGAATTTCGAGCACCAGGCAAGTACCGAAGCTCACGGGTTTTCACTTGTCGGGCCCTGGGAGGCGATATTCGCTCGACACTGTCTCGACACTTTTCTGGGTGCTCGAAATTAGGTTTAGGATGCGGTCCTTAAGTACGATGGGGGCAACAGAAGGCTAGGGTTCCTAAGATTGCCAATCAACATGCTCCCTTGGCATCGCTCGGACGCGTGCATTTTTGTCGGCGAGGGCAGCGCAAGAAAAAAATGCGACCATCTGGGAGCACCTCGGACCAGCCCTCGAAAAAGCAGAACGCGCACGAGACCAAATAATGCACGGGGGAATGAACGTCCGAGCGATGGCAAGCTCAGATCTGCGACGATGAGATCTTTCCCGACCCGCCGCTTGCTCCTTGATTCTGCCCGCTCGACGTGGAAGTCTTCCGCGTCTGAGTGCCCTCCTCTTCCTCCGGTCCTCCGCGCGGCCACCCTTGTCCTTTTTCCCCTCGCGCACGCCGGCCAATTCGCCTTTTGGTCGCCCCGGATCGCCACCCGCTGGAGCAGCTTCTCTGACGCCCGGGGGCACAGCGATTTCCACCACCATGGCCTCCGACGAGTGGGCCGGGGCTGGGGATCTGGACGGCGGATGGTACCAGCAGGGGGACGCACGTTGCCCGTAGTGCAATCGTCGTTGCCAGCAGTGTGGCCCGTGCCGTCTTGCGGTGCAGTGCCAGGGGCGGCAGAAAGGGCGACACAGGCCGCCGCATGGGCTTCTGTCGCGGGGCCGTGCGGCGGACTGTGACCGATTGCAGCTTTGTGTAGATGTCTTTGGTTTGTCTGCCTGTTGCTGCTACTCCTCGGCGTTTCTTCTTAGGGCGGCTAGGGCGGGCGGGCGCCATTGTCTCGGCTCTCTCGTCAGCTCTGGGTGTCTGCTCGCCTGCTGCGGAAGCGCAATGCAGTAATTCAATGACGAGCTCATGCCACGAGGTTTTCAAAAGCCGACCTCGTCATGGCCAATGGCTCGCGGCAGCAGGTTCGCGCCTGCATGATATGTTCAAAGTTCATAGTGCACGCGCAAAGGCGATTCGTGTATCGTCGCTGCCGCCGGTTATCAAAGTTCGACATGGCCGCGTACATCATGGTTGCCAGCTTAGACCCAGCACTCCTTACCGGCGCAAGCGGAGCCTTTTGGCAGTGGCGGGAGGAAGACGACAGATGGGAGGGCGGGAGATGGAACGCAGAGAAGGACGCGCGCTGAGCCCTCATCAGGAGAGTAGCTTGGACCCATTGGACCCCGCACAGTGCGCAATTGCACTCTGGATACATGTGTTCTTGATTTGGGGGCTAACAAGTGCAACCACTGTTTGGGCGAAATCCATGCAACAGTTCAATCGTGCATTGGTGCACCAATGAACCTGAAAGTTGAAAGTGCTTTTGACTGAGCAAATGCGTCACAGGTGACCGTCACTGCGACTGCTGCCGCAGTGACTTTTGCACCGCATAGCTTTACAGACCCGAACTGCAGTGATCGCCCTCAGGATTCTAAGCACACTGACAATACCCGAGCAGGGTGCCTGACGAAACATCGCCTTGCAGAGCCTGCCAGTTGAGCATGGCGAGCTGTAATCAATCGACAGCAGGTGTTAAAGCACATCGGCCAGTTGTTGCAGAGTATCCTTTCACCTCCTCCCCCTCCTGATCTCTTCTGCCTGGACCTCTGTTTTCTCCTTCTCGCGAGGCATGTCTTCTTGCACCTAGCTTTCATACAGAGGCCGTTGTGTTTGCAGGGTGAGCGCTACACAGCAGAGGCAGACTGGCTGTGCCAGCTGCCTTTGTCAGTAGCCCCGTTTTCGCAGTAGCCCCCTCTGTCAGTAGGCCCCGTAGTCATCTGGGAAATTACGTGGTCATGAATTTTGCAATCACGCCCAAGGTGGCGCTTGCCTCCTGTGTGAAAGCAAGTGTGCGCACTCGCTTATGCAGAGCTCCTGCCACATCAGTTCAGAATCGCGAGGCTTTCGCAGCACTGATAAATCACATATCGCTGAACGACTGAACATGCTGCAGAGCCGTGCGAGTCGACAGATCGCAAGTTGCTACTGCTGTCCGCATCGTTTCCTGGGCGCCCCCGGACACGTCTTCGGCTGCCCACGGGCTGGAAATTCCAACCGACACGCCCAGAGATCTAGCGGCGTGATGTTGCTCGAGACATTGTCGTGTTGCCGTGTGATCTTCTTTGCATCAGTATGTGCCGTGTCACGCTGCAGCTTGCCAAATTCGGGCTCGCTGTGTTGCGGCTCGGCAAGACTATGCCGCGGCCGATCCAGTCTTAAGACATACAGCGCACTGCAGAATCGAGGCCAGGGGATTGTAGAGCATGCGCTCTGACACACGAGCCTTGCACGTTTTCACGCCTCAATTTCCTCCCCATCTTCTTCCTCGTTTTTGATCCGCCTCTTCATCTCTGCCATTCCCACCTCAGCTTCGTGATACAGATAATGCGTTCTCTGAGGGTATCTTGACCGTCTGCGGCTTCCTTGAGAGACAGCCAACCCACAGAAAAAGAAAAAAAACACCCTGCTTGCCTCCAGGGTGCCCCGGGTTTCTTGGGTGACGATGGTTTCGCTATGGAGTGCGTGACAGTCCCGCACCAAAGATCAATGCACTTCCTGGGGTTCCAGGGCCGGGTTTCTTGTGGAAGACTTCGTGTGGTCCAGTCCCTACTGTAAGCATCAAAGTGCCGGAGGTCCGCGAAGATCTTTCCTGGATCTGCGCTGGATCCATGGAGCCCCCTGGCGGCGCCTCCGGCGCCGCCCCTGGCGCCGGAAGCGCGCCAGCGAGGCCGTGTGCCGGCGCAGGTTCCGGAAATCTTCGCGCGGGCCTCCGGGAGTCGCTTGCGCTCCCCAGACCTCCGACGTCACGGTTTTTGCATGACGTCCACCCCCAGAGGTCTCGACCCATTCCCCAGGTCCGGTCTTTCATCCCGTGTCGCTGTTTGACGGTCCCGAGGCCCGGCGAGGGCCCCCCGAGGCCGAAATTGGAGAAAAGCCGCCCGCCGTGATTTTTGCCCATGGTCCGATGGGGCTCTGGCGCTCTGGTGCCGCTTCGGCTTCCTCTGCGGCCGCTGGCTCCGCCGGGGCGGGCCTCCTCGTGGCGCGGGGGCGCCCGCGCGCCTGGCGCGGACAGGGGGCCACATGCGAACCCGACCCCATACTCAGGAGGGGAAAAAACATACAGACACAATTAATCGTCGGTTCCCCCCCAAATATGGGGAAATATGGGAAGTGGGGGTGGAAGACAGAAACCCAGAAAACATAGGAACAAAAATATATGGGGAATATTTTGATGTGTGTGTACTTATTTGTGCGTCCTGGGGCCCCTTCAGTATGGGGGTCGGGCTCGCCTGTGGCCCCCTATAGCCGACCTTTCTCCCTGCGCCGCCGGGGCGGCCGCCGTGCTGGGCGCCGAGCCGGCTGCTGGGCGGGAGCGCGGGGGCCGGGGCCGGCGGGCCGGCGTGGGCGGCCGCGCTGGAGCTCCGAGGGCACCAAGTAAACACCCGCCGAGCCTGTTAGGGGGCCACATGCGGACCCTACCCCTACCCCCCACGATGTCTGAGGGGGAGGGTGGGGTTCACTTCGCTCGGGAGCTCCCGAGCGAAGTGAACCCCACCCTCCCCCTCAGACATCGTGGGGGGTAGGGGTAGGGTCCGCATGTGGTCTCCTACCTGTGCCCAGGATGAGCCAGCTCATCGCTCCGTAGCCAGTTTTCGGCCTGTCAAGGGGCCCTCGCCGGGCCGCGGGACCGACCAGAAACGGCGCAGGCTGAAGAGCCAGTCCTGGGGAGCGGGTCGAGACTTCCGGGGGCCCCGCATCGAAGAAGTCACGGCGTCGGGCCTCTGGAAGAATATACACACCGACCCCGAGCCTGGGCCCAGGAGGAGCCAGGCCAGGATCGGCGCAGGTGCACACACACAAACCCCCGGCGCCATGATTTTTGTTCCCAACATCGCCCCCTGCAGAGGTCTGGACTCGAGCAGTGGCGAAGCGTCCTGGCGCGCCTACAGCCCTACCAAACAATGTTCTGAGAACCTGTTGTGGCTCCCACGACATGTTCTTAGAACATTTCTGGCGGAGTCTGTCTTGGTTTACCGCATCGGGCTTATGTTCTAAGAACATTGTTGTTGTTCTTAGAACATTCCTGGGTTCGAAAAACATTTCGTGGTAGGACTATAAGAATGCCGGGACGGTCGGTCCCTGCTCAAAGGTGCACACACAACCCCCGGCGTCATGATTTCTGTTCACAACATCGCCCCCTGCAGAGGACATAACCCCCGGCGTCATGATTTCTGTTCACAACATCGCCCCCTGCAGAGGTCTGGACTGGACCCCTTCCCCTGGGACCAGCTTCTCATCCTGAGCCGTTCCTGTGGACGGCCCCGGGGCCCGGTCAGGGCCCCCGTGAAGCCGCACGGGGCGAAGAGCCTCGCGTCGTGAGATGTTGCTTTCCACACCGCGACGGGGCCTGGGCATGTCGGGAGGAGAGGAGAGAACACACGCAGACACCATCCGTTTCGCTCCCCAGGGAAGTACATGGGAAGCCATGGGAAGTGTGGGGGGGACGACGACAGCCCTGAAAAGATGGGAACACATGGAACGTCCTGCGATGTGTGTCTATTTGTTTGTGTGCCCCATTTTCCTCCCCCTTCCCTGGTTAATTCAAGCCTCGCGCGGCCCGCTTAGCCTCGACCGGAAGAGGTGCGCTCTCGACCCGCGAATCAAAAAGTGTTGTTGTGTCCCAGGGCCCCTTCCGCGTGGGTGGCGTCCTCCGCCCTCCGAGGCCTTCCTGCGCGCGCCGGGGGCCGCCGGGGCCGCCGACGCCGCGGCCGCGGAGGCCCCGCGGCGCACGCCGCTGGAGGCCGCGCGCCGTGCGCCGCCCGCGGCGGGCGCGGTGCCCTCGGCGGCGGCGGTGGTCCGGGCGCTGAGGAGCAGGGGCGGCCCAACCTCGACGAGCGCGCTGCACTGCTCGCCAAAGTGGCTGCGATCGGAGACGGCCTCTGGGCCCCTCGCTGGGGCTCCACGAGGAGTGGTATCCAAGCATAGGCAGGCGCGTGTTCTGCTCGCAAATGGCCTGGACCCTTCGCTGGGGCGCCACGAGGAGCGGTATCCGAGCAGACATGCGCGTGTTCTGTTTCGGACGTCTGCGAGCAGGCGCTTGGCCAGTAGTGGAGCGCGCTCGGCGACAACCGACCCCCTGTAGTCTCGAGCATGTTCTTGGGATGGAGGGCGAAGGATCAGGGGCGGCCTCACTCAGCCACGCGCAGAGGGGGCTGGGGGGGAGGGGAAAGGGCTTCTCAGAAGCACCCCTGCTTCTCAGGAGGCGCGGGCCTGATCTCTAGATGTAAGGCCGGCGCCTTCTAAGAAGCAGCCTCCTTCTAAGAACCCCCCCCCTCCCCCCCCACCCCCTTGCGCGCGCCGCCAACTAACCGACTCCCGTAGTCTAGGCCTCCCAGATGGGGTCCGAGTAGATGGGGTCGGAGAATCGCGCCGCATCGCCGATGCATCGGCGATGCATCGGCGCTGCGGCTCGATGTGGGGTCCAGGTTTCTCCACGCCGACGTCGCCGATGCATCGCCGATGTGTCGGCGATGCGGCGAGATTCTCCGACCCCATCTGCTCGGACCCCATCTAGGAGGCCTCTAGAAAATCAGGGGCGGCCCAACCGACCCCTGTGGCAGACCAACCCCTTCTGTGACGTCCCCCTCGCCTCTCGCCCCAACACGTGTGTACGTGGCTGGGGGGGAGGGCGAAAGGCGAGGATGACGTCACGGCAGATCTTCCCGAGACGGGCCCCCGACCTCCCGACCCCTTCCCACGGGACCGGCTTCTCATCCCGAGCCCGTCCTTGACGGTCCCGAGGCCCGGCGAGGGCCCCGAGAGGCCAAAGAAAACCCATAGAAACCTCCGTCTCGATTTTTTCGAGGCGCCCGATGTCTGGGTATACGGGTCGGCGAGGCCGCGCCCGAGAGGAGGGCCGCGGGCCCGGGCGCCGGGACTCCGCCGCCGGAGGTCGTGGGCGCCGCCCTGCGCCAGAGCGGCGTGCCCCTCACCGACCAGAACATCGTCCAGGCCCTCGCGCAGGGGAGCAACGCGAGAGGGGGCATGGGCTTCGCGGGGGGAAAAGAAGCACACAGACACAATTAATCTTCGAGTCCCCAGAAAATATGGGAAAATATGGGAAGGGGGGGGGAAGACAGTAACCCAGAAAATATAGGGGAAATATGGGGAACCTTTTTATTTGTGTGTATTAATTTGTGTGTCCTGGGGCCCCTTCAGCTTCGGGGGGGACGAGGCTTCGAGGTTCCAGGCTCGAGGTCTTCGGGTGTCTCCGTCGGTCCTCGGTGGCTTTCCGGCCCCCCGGGGTGCTCTCCGGCAGCCGCGCCTCGTCGAGGGCGAGGGGTGCCAGGATCGGGCCCAACGGCCGTTGTGGAGCCGAGTTATGATCCGAACACCATTCGGGCTGGACGAAAGGGGGGGATTGGGAAAGGGGGGGTTACGGAATTTGCTGCATGCAGCTGGTTTCGGCCCCACCGAGGGGCCCATTCCTCGATACATGGCCGCCTCCTGGCGCCGGTGCGCTGCAGGGGGCCCACTGCCGATCCATCGGCGACGCATCGCCGATGCCGGGTCGATGTGTCCCTCCCTGAGCCGGTCCCCCCCTCACGCAGGAGGGAACAAGAACACACAGACACAATTAATCGTCGACTCCCAGGAATACGTGGGAAAATATAGGAAGTGTGGGGGAAGACGAAAACCCAATAAAATATGGGAAAGTATTGGGAATCATGTTAGTTGTGTCTATTTATTTGTGTGTCCCAGGGCCCCGTCACTGACGTTCCCCCTCACTCGTGGGTCCAACTTGCCAGGGTGGGTGCAGGGCGCCCTTGGCAGGATGATCGGGTCGGTAGTGTGCAAGGCATGTGCTTCGAGCGCCCTTCGAATCTGAAATCGTTGATAGATCCCGCTCGAGACGCTCGTTTAAATGTGCACATGCACGTTTATCGATTTGCACAGATACGTGTGTATACATATATGAATAGATAAGTGTATATACAAGCATGCATTTGAGCTTCGCGCCATGCGCCTTGCTCCTCCAAGTTGTAAAACAAAAGGTTGAGTAGCATTCAAACGGGTAGAATTTCACGTCCGTGGGGTGGTCGTGTCTTGGACTTGCAAGTGTGGTGGCAGAACGGTGGATGACAGCCGAATCTTGACGTTTCATCTCTGATGTAGCAACGTGTTGTGTTGCGGTGGGCTTCTCTGCGTTTGTCTGCATTGCCTTGAATCGGTATTGCTGTGCACAGCGCCGTTTTCAGCGCACTGCTTGGCACTGGTTTGTGATGCAATTCGCTTCACTGTGCAATGCATTGGATTGCTTCGTTTACAGTGGTTTTGTGTTGCATAGCTAGCATGGTGACTGAGCATTTGAATAATGCCGTGCATCGCATTGATTTGTGAACGATGTTGGTTACACTACCGCGCAGCGTCGCTCGTCATACGACGTCGTCGGGACATGATCAGCTTGCCCACAGCTTGCCTTCTCATATTGCTTGTAGTCTGCCCAGGGCTTTTGTTCCCTAGCAGCGCCTCGCCAGGGGGTTCTCATAGAAGGGCAGAGGGGACCACGGGAGAGTCCCCTAGAGGGGGACGGGAAGCCCGGGACAGTCCTGGACCGTTTGGTCCGACGGCCGTTGCGCCAGAGACGCATTCACAATTCATTCAGGGACCGTGCTCGCGATGCAATGCTGGTTACCTGTTTGGTCCGGGCGGCTGCGATCCATGGTTGAAGATGCGCTGGGGTGCACATGGCCGTGCAATCACCGCTGTCGATCCGCCTCGTCACCGTTGTTGCTACTACCGTGCTTTGCGGGGGTAAAACCTATTCAGACGACAGAGAGAGAGAGAGGAACAAACAACATGTAGAGATAGAGAGAGAGAGAGAACAAACAAAAACAAAAAACAAAAACAAAAACAAAAAATGGTTGATGTCGCGCCATGTTCACGCACAACGTGCGCAGAGGCATCGCGAGAGTAGTCGCCAGGTGCAGCACGGTGCCCCCCCCCCAGCCCTGGCACGTCCGGGCCCCGGTCGGACGCCCCCTGCGAGCCGGCTGTGCGACCCATAGGCGCTGGTCGAGGCCGCCGGCCCGGCGGCGAAGCCGCCGTGGGCCCCCAGCCTGGAGGACCAAAGGGGCCCCAAGACACACACACACACACACATATACATATATATATATATATATATGTGTATATATAATACACAAATATTAAGATTCCCCATATTTTCCCGTGTTTTTGGGGTGTTCGCCTTCCCCCCCACTTCCCATGTGTTCCTACATTTTCTGGGGGATCGGCGATTCATTGTGCCTGTGTGCTTATTTTCCTTCCTGAAGGACGTGGAGGCCGTGCGCGAGGCGGCCAGCAGCGGCGGCGCCGGCGCGGCGCAGGGGCTGCCTGCTGGGGCAGGGGAGCCAGAGCTGGACTCGAAGAAAGAAAGCTTGCAGAAGCATAAAGGTTCCAAATCCAGTCACGCAGTTTAGTTTCATGTTTAACGAGTTGTGCCGTCTTCGGGTTCTGTGCCGCAGCGCGCGGGAGCACAGCTTCGGTAGACGCTACCCCTCTCGAGACTATGCCGGACAATCAACTTTCTTGTCGCGTGCTTACGTGCTTCCTCGCGACTCGAAGGCGTCATTTAGACGCCGAGCGACGCGGAGGGATGGTTGCGTGCCAGAGCGCTCTGCTCGTCCCCCCCCCCAGAAAAAAAAGCTTGCAGAAGCATCCGAGCTTTCGGGCGGATGGTGTTCGTTTTCGTATTCATTGTTTTGCCGGTCGGCGCGGGCCCTCGTACCCCCCCTCCCCCCCATGGAGTAGAGCCTGGCTGATTTTTGGCGCCTCACTGTTTCGAGCAGGTGGAGTCTCCCCCGTGGGACGCACTCTTGCAAACAGTCGCGCTAAGCAGCGGTCTGGAGCCAGACCCTTCCCCCTCTCCCCCCCCTTCCGCCCAATGTCAACGTCGACACGCCGGATAAGAAAACGTTGTTTTTTTTTGACTCGGCGCTGGGCCCCCCTGGCGGCGCCTCCGGCGCCGACCCTGCCGACCCTGCAGCAAGTTCGCGCGCGCCAGGGAGGGGGCTCCCAGCGCCGATGCGGCAACAATCCGTGCGGACCTCCGGGAGTCGATGCTTGTGCCGGCGCTTGTTCTTCGACGGACCTGGCGGCTCGCCAGGACGTCGCGGCGGTGGTGGCCGCCCACGGCGGCAGCCCGACCGCGCGCGAGGTGGTGAGGGCCCTCAAGCTGGCCGCAGGGGCTGATCTCGGCGCGCCCCCGCCGGAGGTGGTCGGCGCGGCCCTGGCCAGCAGCCGGGTGCGGGCCACTCGGGAGAACGTGCTCGAGGCCAGGGCTATGATGCTCCAACCTACGTAGCCTTGAGGACCAGAAAGAATTTCGAGCGCCAGAGAAAGTACCGAAGCTCCAGAGTTTTCACGTGCCGGTTCCTGGGAGACACTCGCCCGACATTGTTTTGACACTGTTTCGGCACTCTTTTGACACTTTTCCGGGTGCTCGAAAATATTTCTGGGATGTGGTCCTTACGTAAGATGGGAACAACATCAGGCCAGGGCTGAACCTGACCGGTGCTCTTCGTTCTCGTGTTGCCTCCGTCTTCCCCCTCGCTTAGGCCTCGCTCCGCCCGCAACGCAGACCGAAGCCGAAATGACAACGGCCCCCGAAATCGCCAAGACACCGTGTATAGGTCCGCCTTCACCCGGGCCACCCGCCCGCCGCTGGGCCGCCGCGTGAGGCCTCGGCTTGCTGCGTGAGACGTGGCCTGTTCGCGCTGCCTTTGCTCAATTCGTCTCTACATAGCCCGCTCTGACCTGACTCGCCGCCGGCGCGCTCGCCCGCGGCCGCTGACTAAAAGTATGGGTCCGCCCCTGCTCGAGGCCCTGCGGGAGGCGGCCGGGCCCGGCACCGGCCCGCCGGGGGAGGCCGCCCTGCAGGCGGCGCTGGCGGCGGCGGCGGCCGGCGGTGCCGCGAGGGGGCCCGGCGCACCCGCCGCGGGCGCGCCGGGCGCCGGCGGGCTGTCGCCGGAGGAGGCGCGGGGGGCATATGCAGACGGGGGTCCGCCAGAGCGGCGGATCGTGCAGGACCCTGCAGGGCCAGGGTCGCATATGCACCCGGCCTTGGGTGCAGGATCTTGCAGGATCTTGCAGAATCCATGGCGTTGGCCCGGGTTTGGCTGCAGGATCTTGCAAGATCCTGCAAGGCCTGACTGACCCGGGTCTGGATTGACCCGGGTCAGAAGATCCCCGAGAGGTTCAAGCAGTGGCGAAGCGTCCTGGCTAGGGGAACAAAAAGTGGCATAAACATAAAAACTCGGAGGTCCGCGCGGATGTCTCGGATCGGCGCTGGGGCCCCCCGACGGCGCCTCCTGCGCCGCCCCTGGCGCGCTCTGCTCGTCAGGGAAGGGGAGTCTAGCGCCGATCCGAGAAATCCGCGCGGACCTCCGAGTTTTTTATGTTTATGTGACTTTTTGTTCCCTCACTGGCGTGCCTGTTGGCCAACCAAAGAATGGTCTAAGAACCGTCCGCGGCTTCCACCGAATGTTCTTGGGACACTTCTGGCTGGGACTGTCCTGTTTCAGCACAGCGGGCTTCTTTTCTGGGAGCAATTGCTGTTGTTCTTCGAACATCTCTGGGGGTTCTGAGAACATGTCGTGGTAGGCCCAATTAGGAGTGCCGGGGCGCCGGGACGGCCGGTCCCTGCGCAAGAGGTGGTGCTGAGGCTGCAGGCCGCGCAGGCGCAGATCGACCCCTCGGCAGGGGAGCCGCCCCCGGAGGTGGCAGGGGCAGCGCTGTATAGGGTCAAGTCGGGCACGCGCCTCCTGCCTATGAGCAGTATTCAAGAACAGACAACACAAATAGTCAGGAGACGCTTTTTTTCTGCTGGACGTTTTTTTGTGTTTCTTTTGAGCATCGTGTGGCTATCATTCCTCGAAAACCCGCCCGTAGGAGGACATGCCCGACCTCACGCTATAGGGGGGGATGGGCTCCGGGGGGGACGCATCCACCCCGAGTCGCCCATTCGTCGCCGGCAGGCCTGCTGGCCCTCCCGGCCCAGGAGCGTGCGGATCTTCGCTGCCGGAGGCCTCTGGCCGATGTATCGGCGCGCGGCGACGACGTATCGCCGATTCCAGGCCGAGGTTCCCCCCTGCACCCCCCTGAGCCAGTCCCCCGTTCGTTCCCCCTCAAGAAGGCTAAGTCGGGCGTGTCCCTCTACAGCAGGAATATTCAAAAATAGTATTAAAACAAATTAGGGGACGATCTGTTTTACTAGTTTTGTCCATTTGGGAGCATTTGTTCGATTATTTCCCAATCAGTGCTTGCACTGAAGGGGTCCTCGCGCATGTTGCTAGAGTTGCCTCGCCGATTCTCTGGTGGCACGCTGGGTTCCCGGGTTCCCGGTTCCGGGGTTCCCGGGTTCCTGGGTTCCTGGTCATTGGTTCCGGGCCGATGGTTCACCGATCTCATTGTCGAGTTCATTACGGATCTCATTGGTTCCCGGGTTCCCGGTTCCGGGTTCCCTGGTTCTTGATCATTGGTTCCGGGCCGACGGCTAAGTATCGATCTCAGATCTCATTGTCGAGTTCATTACGGATCTCATTCCCCAATCAGTGCTTGCTGTGAAGGGGTCCTCGCGGATGTTGAAGGATTTGGCGAAAGTGCCCCGCCGATTGGTCGCACGCTGAGTTCCCGGGTGCCCGGGTTCCCAATTCCGGATTCCCGGGTTCCCGGGTTCCCGGTTCCAGGTTCTGGGCCGATTTCGGAGGGCGGCGAGGTTCCCGGGTTACCGGGTTCCTGGTCGATTTTCTTATCGACCGGCCTCACCATCGATCTCATTACCGATTTCTCGATCGATCTTACCATCGATCTCACAATCGATCTCACTGTCAACCTCACAAGCGATCGCATTAGAGATCGCATGAGCGATCTCGCGATCGATCTCACTATCGATCTCATTGAATCGATGTCACTCTCGGTCTCACGATCGACCTTACAATCGTCATCACTATCGATTCCACTATCGATCTCATCATCGATCTCACAATCGTTCTCAACATCCATAGTATCAATTTTCAAAGCATCCACGGACTGGGGTTTTCTCGGGTGTAATATTTCGTCTTGTCGTCCAAAACTCGCCCTGCAGGAGGACATGCCCGACCTCACAATCAGGTGGTGGGGGTCGCACTGCACGTGGCCGGAGTGCCCACCACCAGGGAGAGCGTCGCCCGCGGCCTGCGGCAGGCGCTCGGGCGCCCGCCCAGCGACGGGGAGCTCCGGGCGGCCCTGCTGGCGGTCGCGGAGGAGATCGCGAGCCCCGGCGCGTACGGGGCGCCGCTGCAGGCGGCGCCGGCCCCGCCGGGCGCCGCGCCGCAGCTTCGGAGGGGCTCGATGTGTACACCACACCTGAGATCCTGCCGCTGGAATCTTGTGACGCCAGGCGGCGTCGCCCGAGTTCGGGGCAGGGGGCCCTGCCAGATCTATACCCGGCTCGAAAGGCGAGAGGATTGGGGCTCTGGGCGTGATGTGTTTTGCGCCGTTGCAGTTGCTTCAGCGACGTCGGATCTCAGGGCGCGCTGCATGGTCGGCCAAGGAGTTCGGCGAAGGAGTCCGGTGTATGGTTGCTCCGTCGCCCCGCAGGCTGGCAAGCGGGGGCGTCTACGCGCAGGGCTCCTCGGCCGACCGAGCGACGAGGCGCACACCTCGAGCCCCCCCACGCAGACTCCCGAGGAGGTGGTCCAGCAGCTGCTGGGCGCCGCGGGCCCCGACGCGCTCGCGGGCGGCGTGCCCCCAGAGGTGGTGGGCATGTCGGGATCCTGCAAATGGGGGTGTGGTTGCCCCGCGTGTGTGTGTGTGTGTGTGTGTGTGTGTGTGTGTGTGTGTGTGTGTGTGCGTGCGTGCGTGCGTGCGTGCGTGCGTGCGTGCGTGCGTGCGTGCGTGCGTGCGTGCGTGCGTGCGTGCGTGCGTGCGTGCGTGCGTGCGTGCGTGCGTGCGTGCGTGCGTGCGTGCGTGCGTGCGTGCGTGCGTGCGTGCGTGCGTGCGTGCGTGCGTGCGTGCGTGCGTGCGTGCGTGCGTGCGTGCGTGCGTGCGTGCGTGCGTGCGTGCGTGCGTGCGTGCGTGCGTGCGTGCGTGCGTGCGTGCGTGCGTGCGTGCGTGCGTGCGTGCGTGCGTGCGTGTGTGTGTGTGTGCGTGTTGTGTCTCGTGGCGTGTGTCTTGTGTCTTGTGTCTTGTGTGTTGTGTGTTGTGTGTTGTGTGTCGTGTGTTGTGTGTTGTGTGTTGTGTGTTGCGTGCGTGCGTGCGTGTGTGCGTGCGTGCGTGTGTGTGTGTGTTTGTGTGAGAAGGAGAGAGAGAGATAGAAAAAAAATCAGATAGAGAGAGAGAGAGAGACACACAGAGTCCGATTGGTTTTACACCTAACCGCCCAAGACAGATGCCCGCCGGCCGCCGGCAGTTCCCGATAGTTGCCGATGGGCGTGGCATGCGGGAGGCATCTGTGTTTCGGCAGTTTGGTGCACCACCGCATCGAGTTGATGCCCCCCCCCTCATGCCTCAGGGTCCCCCCCCCTTTTTTGGTGGATCCCGAGCATGGCGCTCCGGGCCGCGGGCCTGGAGGCCAGCAGGGAGAACGTCCTCCGTGCGTTCGGCGAGGCCGGGAGGAGGCAGGGGGCCGCGCCGCCGACGCTTGCCGACGTCGAGCTCGCCATCGCGTCGGGCGCCGCCCCCCCCTAGCGCGGCCCGCGGCCGCGGGGGGGCCCTGGGGGGGCTGCGTGGCCGCCGACGCTGGCTGGCGTGGAGCTCGCCCCCTGCGTCGGGCCACGCGCCCCCGCAGGGCCGCTTTGGGGGGCCTCCGGGGGGGCTATGCGTGGCCGCCGACGCTGGCCGGCGTGGAGCTCGCCTCTCAAAGTCGGGCGTCCTGCCCCCCTGGCGCCTCGCGGCGCATAGGGCCTGCGCGCGGCCGGCTGGGCGTGCGTTCCGGAGAGGTCGCCTCGCTTCGCCGCGCCCATCCCTGAACAAAGGGGGGGGAGAAGAGGGAGGGAGAGAGGGAGGGAGGGAGGAGGAAGAGGAGGAGAAGGAGGAGGAGGAGGAGGATCATGTGGAAGAGGACAAGGAGAAGGTGAAGAAGGTGTTATAGTTAAAAGTGTTCCGACTGGGCGAGCAGGTGAGGCCAGTGTGACTATTCCATTTGTTTGTAGCAGCTGTGTGCCTGGGGGGGGTCACATTTTGATTCTGGGGAGGACGATTCTCACAAGCCGTGTCCTTCTCCATTCGGGGATTCGTTTGCCTTTCGGCTGCTCCGCTCTCCCGTTTGCCGCCCGGGTCCGAGGCGGGGTAACAAGTTTCGGCCTGTGCTCCAGTAGGAACTGTGCGGCTCCTCTGCTGGTCGGCGACCTCGCAGAGGGGCTCGGGGTCGCCGCCTCTGGGCGCCGGCCGCTGGCGCGGGTCGCTCCGTGGCCATGGCCGCCGTCGGTGCCGGCTTTCCCGCCCGCCTTCCCTTGGGTATTCTGTGCTCCGGCCGGTTGGGCCTCGAGGGTCCTCGGGGTCTCTCGGGCTTCCCGTCCGGCCGCACTTGATGTTTCGCCCAACGGTCCGTGCGGGCGCACGGGACTACCCATCAGAAAGTGGCTAGGCAGGAATCTTCTGAATCGCTGTCTGGGCGTGTTTCCGAGACTGTTTGGCTCAAGTTCCTTCGGGCTGCAGGAGAACAAAGGCTCCCACCACGAATTCATGGTGGCGGGGCCCGTGGTTCGCCCCACGGGTTCCAGTGCGAGCGGCTCTCTCCGCGGAGCGCGAGTCTCCTTGCGATGGCCGCAGCCGCGGCTGCCGCGGCTGCGCCATGCCCTGGCGCAGCCGACCCCGGCTTCGACGCGACGCGACCTGATGTCCGAGAGGTTTGGTAGAGCCTGCGCACGAAACTTTTCGCGGAGTAGTGCAAAGCCGGTTATGGTAACGGAGTATGTGACCATCGCTTTCGACGTCAATCGCGGAGGGATGGGATGATCCTTCGAGCGCAGCGCCACGCCGGGCACTAGGACTGTTCATGCTGATGGGGCATTCGCGATGTGGCAGGTGAGCTACAAGACAAATGCCCTTCTGATTTCGGTCACCAGCCGCCATATCTGCTTTGCAAGGAACAGTTCAACACAGTGCAACAACACGTTAAGACGCAACTCCAACGTCAAGCGAATTCCCCGCAACATGTCGTCAATGCAAGCCCGACAGCGAAAACAAGGCCATTCAGCAGTTAGAAATGTTCTCGGGTGACCGGACCAAAATTCAAAGATTGGAACGAGAACTTGTTGAACGCGCTTGCGTAAGTGAAGCGCCCTTTATCCGAAACCCTGAACTACTTGAAGAACAAATTTCAAACCATGGATGGGGCGGCACGATTTCATAAAGGTTATGAACGGGAGGTTCATCGTGAGCGAGTACACCAAAGCGTCACTAACCAAGAAGCAAGAAGAGGACGTTGAAAGATAACGCGAGCTCGATAAAGACGACTACGCAAAGTTGGACGATGACCTCTGGCACATTGAAATTCAAGGGCTTGCATGAAAGAGACGACACGCAATGGCTTATCACGAAGGATGTAAGCACGAATTCAGCCGCCACGGGAGGCACACTGTCATACAAGACGAACCTGGCCATGAGTCCAGGACAGCCCACGGCTGTTGACGACGTGGCGACCCAGCACCTTGGAGTGCATTGGTAGAAATCTTGGGTAAGTAGGAGAACGCATGCTCTTTACCATTGCCGTTCCGGATTCCTGCTTTGAGGGCCACTATGGCCCGCGCAGGTAATTTGTGTGACGACTGGCAGGACTGCTTCAAGATGCCAGAACCGTTAAGTATTCAAACACCTGCCAGAAACTCTTCATCAAGTTTGGAGATTGGATCAGAGAGAAAAACTTGACGCCGACACGAAGAACAACGACTCCATGGAGATCGGCCTCAACGATGAAGATATTGGGGCGTGCGGCGACAGCGTGGGCGAGTCCGGTTACGATAACGAAAGGGAAAGCTGGTGAACCTGGACCCTGGAACGGGGAAGACATGTGGAAACGGCGACACTACCGAAATTGGCACAGGAAAGGCAGAGGAAAATATACCACATGTTACCATATGTGAAAGATATGCGCACATCGCCAGACACTGTGCCACCACAGGAATCACGACAGGAAGCGGAGCTGGAAAAGGATAGTACGAAGGAGCCAAGGGCCACCAAGGAGCGCAAACGGGAGGACCCGAAGGGGGGCTCCAGGGCCTGAAGGGTAACCCAGGGGGCGATGCAAAGGGAGGTCACAGAAAGATACCCAAGGAGGATACCAGATAATCCAAGCCCTAATTAGGTGGAGATGCGCCGATCAGCGAGAGACAGAGAGAGAGAGAGAGAAACAACAAACAAAACAAAAACTGCAAGCGCGGCGGGAAGGGCCGCATTGCAGCGCGCCCACCTAAGAACGCCAACGGGGTTGCCCCTGGCCACGCGGGGGCAGGATGCCCAGTAGAGTTAGCGCAGATGTTAGGGCCGCCCCTGCCTGCTCGGAGGGTCGCAAGATCGGAGGGCCCAGTGCCAGCTGACGAAGAGGGGAAACAAGGAGGCCAGGTTTTGGCAACAATGGAAGATGCGCGTTGCATGAATCTGGAGTGAAGTAACTGCGGCCGCAGCACCAGTTTGGACGGCGGAGTCGCGGAATGCATCGAACAGGAGAGAAGTTGGATGCAGGAAGTACGCCGAACTACAGCTGGTAGACATGGAGGGAGTGCGAGATCAGGGCAGTGGAATGGAAGCGATAGTTGTTGCCGTGGGCTCAGGAGCCCAAGACGCCGTTGGACCTCCCAGCGTGGGAACCCGCCTCCGGGTTAGACCCACGGAGGCATCCAATAATGCTTACTGCTGCAGCGCAGCGAATGGTTGTGTCACCAGGAGCCACGGGCAGCGAGTCGTTGTGGGAGAAACGAAAACCGGTCCACTCTGAGCATGCCCATTCAAGTAGCCGGTGTCAAGACAGTGCTTGGGTCTTCGCGTGCGATAGTCCATGGTGGTGGTAGCGTTGTGTTGGATCGAGACGATGACGGGCGACTTTGCAGTTACCTCGAGCAAGAAGCGACGGGACAAAAGACGACGATTCGCGAGAAGAGCGGCAATTTCCAGCTCACCATGCGGGCCCTTGGAGGTGGCGGGGAGTGGCGAGGACCTTGGGCGGGGCGGGCCAAGGCCCGCGTTATCCCTGGAGGCGACGACAACGATGGACCCGCTAACGTTACTCCGCCGAGGTCAGGTCAACGGCAGCAAGAAGAACGGCAGAGCCACGGAGACGACGAGAGGACCAGAGATGTCGGAGAAGAAGACGATGGGGACGAGAGGATGCAGCGAGGAGGTCCTGGAGCCGAAGGTGGCAAGGAGCCCGACGACGAGAACATATAGGCAGACACAGGTGGACAATGACATAATCATGCGAACATCGATGAGGCACGCGCCAGGTTGAATACGATGGGGCGCGACACCAGCGCAGTAGAGTGGTTGCTCAGCACCGACTTGGATGTCAGTCGACAGGCCAGTGAGATCAGGGGGGCAGTTAGGTGATGCGGCAAAGGGCCAGCACGACGTGCAGTCGCATGGTTCTGAAGCTGACTCGCCAGTCCGAGTTGCCGGGGCGGCGGGGCACGCGGGGCCCTTGCCGGGGCCGGCCATGGACTTGGCCGCGCGCGACGCAGACGCCAGCCCGCGGGATTAAAATTGCGCGGCGACGCGGGCCAAAGCAGGGGATATGATCGAGAGCAGAGCAGCATTCCTGTTTATGACGAGTCAGACGCGCGCAGCTTCCGGCGGGCCACCGACCTTCAACTCGGAAAGGCCCGGGCCAGGCGAGTTGAGGGGCGTGCTTGACTATGGGGGTAAGCGCATGAAGTTCGCGCCAGAACTACGTGGGACTCAGAGAAACAATGGATTACGCGTGCTTTGTGAGGACCCCGCGGGGGCCTCGAGTTGGGCGGCGTCGACGACGCAGCGGATGTTCAGGCGCGAAGATGCGCAGACGCGCGATGGCGATCTGCGATGCGATGATCTGAGCCAGATAGCGTAAGGGGGGAGATGCGCGCGACGAATCCCACGGGGTTCATAACCAGCGGCCCCTACGTTGAAAGGATTATTAGCATGCTGCGTCAGCGCCAGCATGAAAATGCAGTGGAGGAGGCAGAACGAGGAACTCTCAGGTTTACCCTGGTGGACTTTCTCGGGCCACACTTTAACGCGCTGTTTACCAGGTGGCTGCAGGCGACCGATCAGGGCGTTCCTCCAGAGTTCGTGACCCAGGAGTTGATTGGTGCGAGCATTGCGAAAGCTTGGGAACCAACGAGGTTGGGAACGACGAGGTGTGACGGGAGACGTGGCCCGTAGCAACTTGGACCTGGAAGGGCCACGGCACATCCTGGCTCATGCTTCTACGCAGTTCAGGACCGACATGGAGCACGCGCTCGCGCGCAACATCGCCACCCGTCTCACCTACTGGACTATCGGGGCAATCCAGCCACGTCAGTGGATCTGTGGACTGTGCCGACACGGAGGCTGGCGCAGAGTGCCAGTACCATGCGAGGCATGTGGATGTGTAGATGAAGTGCATCCGGTTAACTTGGAAGACAGATGCGCGGTTCACCACCAAAATGGCAAAGCGCGGGCTTGGGATGGCGCGTGAGGGAGCGAGGTTGACCCAGAATTCACGTGACAGACTA